AATATGGAACAATAAGATCTCTAATATAAGTTGAAACCAGGCTTTTGAGAGCTTTGTAGGTTAGAAGTAAGATTTTGAATTATATTCTTAGTTTGGTCCTACTTTAAACATGAAAGGAAACGGCATCTTCAGTCCATGCCAGCTTAAGTCCTGTTGCACCAAGAAGTCCAATTAAAGCCTGTCTTGATATTGGAAACACTTGCATGTTAACTTATGGCTTGGGGGCCAAGCACTGGGCCCCTAGCAGATCGAAGACAAATAAACAAGGTCTGCCATAGCAGGCGACAACTGTAGAAGCTGTCTCCAGAAGATAAGACAGAACAAAAACCCTTAATAGGCCACAGAGAGACACACACCCATCTTCAGCCCTGCCTTTTTTATTTATTTTTTACTCATATCTGCATTCTGGTAACAAAGAAAACAAAATTCTTTCCCCTTTTTTTTCCTGCAGAGAGATTAGCAATGCTTAACAAGAGCATGGGCATGAAAATGTGTATTTTTGTGATAATTCGGTAACACACAGACACAACTCATAAGAAGGAGCCTTGCAGAATGAGGAATACAATGCATTTATTTTCCCTTGGGTTGGATTTGAAGGAGAAAAGTACAGCATGTTTGTTTGCTTCTTGCAGCATCAGCTCCACACAAGTGAATGTGGAGATCTTCTTTAACATGCAGTTTTACTTTCCAGTGTTGTCCTCAGAATTCAGTCAGTGCATTTGGCCACTTATATATAATTATGAGACATGTCTTTGCCTAGCACGTTTTGTCAAACACGTATACAACATATGTCTTTAAAAAAATGACACGAGCATGAGGATGGGTTCATATAAGCATGTCAAATTATCAGGTTTGCTTTCCTTTCTTGCCCGAAATGCAGTTAGTGAGGCGTATAAAAGTAGGCAGAAAAGCTTGTTTCTTCTGTGAAGACCCTTTTTTGACTTGGCATGGCATTGGAATGCTGGCAGCAATGATCCCATTTTACAAAATTTTAATCATTTCACCAGAGCCCAGATAGAAGGCACCGGTTCCTCCTGTAACTCTGCCTGAAAGAACTCGCAAAGATCCTCTAAAATGAGAGAGCTGGCACATTATACTGTACCTGATGCCTTTATGCTGAGCTCTGATGAAAAATATCTTCCTGCTGCCAACTTAGCTCATCTGAACTGAATGCCTTAAAGGAAAGAGACTGGTCTTTTGTAACAGGAAGGAAAATGCTTCTGTGTGATGTTGAAGATTTTAGGCAATTGAGGTGTGCAGTTGTCTGTTTCTTACCTTTAAGTTATATTTCTGTAATGCTTAGAGCCTGCGTGATGCCAAGAAATAAGTTTGATTGGAGAAGGCATCAAACCAAGAAGATTGACCCTAATTTTGGCTCTCCTTCTTTCGATTGGCTCATTACCAAAAGCATTTTCACCCTACAAAAAGCACTGCCCTGTTCTTAAAAAAAGTACACTTTCTATCTATCATGTGTATACAGCATGAAGAACAATGGCTTAAGAAAGACATGGTGTTTGTCTTTCATTGTAAACAAGTAACTAACTCTTTGTGCAACAAGACATCTCTTAAAATGACTGAGAACATGTTGTCTATTGTTTCTCTTCTTAAAACAAGCAAAAATAGGAGTCTTCTTCATACTTTAACAGTTATCTGCATCTAGGTAGACATCTCTTTCTTCTAAGAGAATAATGTTCTTGAGCTTGCACTTTCTTGTAAAATGAAGACCACGAGAGAAATAAACCAAATTTATAGCAAACTGCAACTCGATCTTTCCTACATCCATACTTTCTATAAACCGCATTTACGTCTGTGCCAAGCAGCATAAATCATGTCTTATGTATCATTAATATACATAGGTGTCAATAGGAGACGCATGAATGGAAGAAATATGGTTCTTCCCAACAGAGACACAGTTGAAAAATGGGCTGTAGATGGAGTGAAAATAGAGCCCTACTAGTTTGGCTACAAATGCCATCTGAATCTCTGCTGCCCCCCAGTGGGACACCATATATTGGTGGGAGAGCGTGTGGCTGTGTTTTACACCATGAAGCTGTGTTAGAATATGTAAACTTTCAATTAATCAATATACTATGTAGTGTCATCTTTGAATATATACACTGGTGTAATAAATTGGTCAAGCATTTTGCAGCTTTTTAGTGTTATGTATAATATGAGATGATTTGTGACACCTCTGTTACATTTATTTAATGTTATTAATTCAATTCAATTCAGTTTATCTAGCGCCAAGTCACAACAGAAGTCATCTCAGGTCACTGAACAGAAACATTCATATATAAAAATAACGTTAACAGAAACATTCATCTATAAAAATAACGTTAACAGAAACATTCATCTATAAAAATAATAATTTAACAGTATTTATCTGAGGAGCATACTGCTTTGAATTTAACTCCATCGCCGAACTTTGCTCATCTTGAGCAAACATGAAGGTGACAGTGGAAAGAAAAAACTCCCTCATGAAGAAGAAGCCTTTAACAGAACCAAGCTCAGGGCAAGTGGCCATCTGCTTCGACCGGCTGGGTTTGATAGGAACAGATACACAATGGCAGGTCAAGAATCGCATGTTAAGATAGAAATAGTATCAGATGAAAACTATTCAATTTTATCAAATCATTTAAGGACATGAGGTCAATTTGTCCTCCAGTAGTCTAAGCCATATGCGTCAAACTCAAGGCCCGGGGGCCAAATGTGGCCCTCATTGGCACCTTATCTGACCCCAAGATGATATTTTAAATATAAAATACTTTTATCACTTTGGTTTTTTTTCAGTAATTTTTGATTATGATGTCAAAAGTGCAACAGAGAACATCAAATGAGACCAATCCAACTCTTGTTGAGTAACCTGCAACCAAAACATAGATGTTGGTTGTCTAACTTGAGTTAATGTTGATTCTGAAGCCGGCCCTCAGTTTGAAAAAGGTTTTAATGTTGGCCCCCTTTTGTAAGTGGGTTTGACACCCCTGGTCTAAGCCTATGGCAGTATAACAAGCCAACCCTAATCATAGGATTTATCAAAATGGAAAGTCTTAAGCCCAGTCTTAAAACTGGACAATGTGTCAGCCCTATGGACAGAAACTGGAAGTTGGTTCCACAAGAGAGGAGCCTGATAACTGAAAGATCTTCCATTTTGCTTTTGGAAACTCTAGGGACCGCAAGTAAGCCTGCAGTCTAAGAGCAAAGTGCTCTGTTGGGAAAATATTGAACAATAAGATCCCAAATATGAGATTGAGCTAGGTTGTTCAGAGCTTTAACAGTTCAGAGAGTAACAGTGTCTTTCAAAACTGATGTTTTTGGTCACAAATTAATTTAATAGCTGTAGAAATGTTTTTTGAGGATTTGGCTTTGCACCTGTAGACTCTTGGTTAAAGCTCATACATGGTTTGTTCAGATCAATGTAATAAAGAAGATTCAAAATAGTGTTATACTATCAATCTTGAACAAAGGATTATTTTGTTTACATCAAATACAAACTTGTCTTGGAGTTCTCAGCCTAAGTAAGTAAGACGTATTCTTCAGTACATACGAAGTGATTGAGTACACTCGTTATCAGGGCCACAAACCTCAACACTTTGAAGCTAAAATAAAATGTGCATTGCTTCCTTCAGATGTCAACTTTTTAATATTTTAGAGTTTTTCAGTTTTCAGTCAAACCCACTTTAGATTATTAACAAAAACCTACCAAATTGATTTTTTTTAAGCATTACATTCTTTAGTATGTGGCTGTTTTACAAGAAATATGATGTAAAAGTCTGCAATTCATTGCTTCTATCTCAACCATTATTTTAGTGAATTTCCTTTGATCTTCATCTTGCGTTGTAACAACTGAGTCATGTGATGTGAGGCTGCTCTTAACCCGCCTTTTCAACCTTGGTTTTTATGCTTCCCTTTTATACAAATTACATTATAAATGTATTTTGTATAAAAGGGATCTTTGTCTGTCCTAACTGTATGAGTCGTTATGGTCCTGCCTACATCTGTTTGTTTCGGAGTTCTTTTCGAGTCCCGTGTCATTCTCTGCTGTTCATAAGGAGATGCTCATTTGGATAGCATGTCGAGGACAATGCTATGGCTGTCGCTCTGATAGCTATCCAAGTCCTTGATCTTCTCTCCCTGTAAACATCATTACCACATGCTGAAAACATACACATTCACAACAGGCAAGCACACGCTTGCACGCCCCCACAAGCTGCTCATCCAAATCGGCGCTAACAGATTAGCAGTGATTATAAACAAACACGCAGGATTAATCCTGTGTACTCTAAGTCTACTTTTCCACTGAACTAGCCAGGGTAATTACGAAGTGCTAGATTGTTAGTGTATTCACACACACATGCTGCCATGTTTCGCTGATTTCTTGATATCAATTTCAGTTGCTTGTTTTGCTGGAAAGTTTGGGGTATTTTCTCTAAAGAACTTGTGAGACAGCTGAAGTAAACATACGACAAAGAATGAGATGATTTGGCACCACTTACCATTCAAAACTCACAAGTTTGTCCTTGCTGGGTGTCAGGGAAATGTGGAATTTTGACAGCAACAACTTCTTAAGATATGCAGATCATAGCAGACATGGCCTGCTAGGAATTTACTTTTTGATCTGCTGACCATTAAATGTTACCAATTCTCCTTTAAATTCATGGTACATCTGATTTATTTTAATTGCTGGGGTTTAAAAGTCAGCCTGGTTTGCACCCTGCATGTTACTACTTTATTATCTGTGCTCAGTTACCTTCAACTATGATCAAATAGTATAACCCTACTGTGCACACAGTTGGTATGGGTCAGTTGTTTTGCCCATCAGGGACATATTTTCTGACAGCAGTTGGTCTTGTACTAGAAGTGTTAACATTTTGTTCTGCTTGCTTTTTTCTATTGTTATTCTTTTTATTACAAATTGTAAAAAATGCATATATGTAATAATTTTGTTTTGCTAGTCTCCACCACTTTGTTTATGACTGTGGTTTTTCTGTTTGTTTTCACAGGTTGAAGCAATCTTGGTCAACATCTTTGGAGGCATCGTCAACTGTGCCATCATTGCCAACGGGATCACTAAAGCCTGTCGAGAGCTGGAGCTAAAGGTGCCACTGGTGGTCAGGCTTGAAGGTAAAACACCACTTTACACATAAACACATGCTCGTACAACATTTATATTTCATCCTTCGTCATAAGCTGCTTCTATCTGGCTCTCTCACTTACTCACTGCACAGTGCTCTTTCCCTCCTTCAGAAATATGACACATTGATTTCCATCTAGTTTGTAATGAAAGCACTTGACCTTATTAAGAATTCCATGATGCTATATAATGACCGGGCTCAAAAACCACAGCATACCACCGAGCTAAGACCTCTGCCACTTGTCACTCTCTGTAATTCAGGGGTTTGCCTTGACATAGTCTATCCTCAATCTCTATATACAAATGGGGAATTACTGTCGCTCAGAAAGTCTTTATTTAAAAGTGTATGTATACCAAACATCTTTTAAGCAGTTTGGTATTATTTAATTGAGACCTTCTGCCTCTGTAGCCACAAATCTGATGGCTACAAGCTTTATGTAAATCCAGGTATCACACAGAGAAGCACATGATAAAAATAAGTATGCATATTTTGAAGTCTAGGTGTATAAAGAAAGCCTTACTTTGTGTTCTTTTAAAGTTTACAGCCTTTGTGTCATTGCATCTACGTTTATTGAGTTGAATCCATCTTCATTGTGGCTCAGCTCTGTAAGAAGACCAGTGCATTTTTCAAACGTCACACTCTGCAGGACTTGTCATTAGCAGCAGTCAGAGTAAAAGTTGACAAAGCACTGATTGTGTCACCTTTCACCTGTATATGTTAATGTACCCTGTGTCAGTTGTGTGTGTGTGTGCAGCTCTCAGCGATATGGGGATGGTTAGTGTTTCGCTTAATTGTCAAGTTCCTGTTTGGTGTCCACAGTAGAAAGTGTGTGTCAGTGTAACTTTTAATACTTTGTTTGATATATGTCTGCTTCTGCTGTTGATTTGATATTAGATGAAGGTATCTAAGCTGTTTCCTAAAGAGTAAATTCCAGCATTCATCCATGTATCTGTTTTTTTCCATTTTGTCAGGGTTTGTTTGGTAACAGTTCATAGGGGATTTGGGGGCTGAGATGGGGTAGAGGTAGGGCAGCCGACTTTGGACCAGAACATAGCGATTCGACTCCCAGCCATTCCCACATGCCATGGTGTCTCTGAGCAAGACACCCAATCCCCACACCTCTAATTCCCCCAATTGTGCCCGGGGCACTTACGTAGCTGCCCACTGCTCCACCTGGGTGTATCTCAGGTGTGATGGGTTAAATGCAGAAAACTAATTTTGCCATTGTGTGGGAACATACAATGATGACAATCTCAGACTTCCCTCCATTCCCCTTCCCATAAAGGAAACCCAAGCATCCCTCTCCCTAGTGACAGTTTTTAGTTCCTCCTGGGGATTCCAAGATATTCCCAAGCCAGAGAATATTCTGGGTTTGCCCTTGGGTCTTCTCCCAGTGACATGAAAAACACGAGAGAGATATTCAAGAGTCGTTCTAATCAGTGCCTCACCACCTGTTAAGTCCTTTTGATACAGATGAACAGCAGCTCTATTTCAACCTTCCTCTAGATGGCAGAGTCCCTCTCTGAATCTCTAAGGCAGAGACCAGCCACCCTGCAGAGGAAGCTAATTTCAGCCACTTGTATCTGGGATCTTGTTTTTTCAGTCCATATGATATGCTCCATATCACATGGCCATTGGTGAGGACTGGAATATAAATGAACTAGTAAATCAAAAGTGGTGCCTTTCAGCTCCGCTCCATTTTTACCGCAACAGACCAATGTAATTCCCTCATTTCTACAGATGAAGCCCTGATCGGTTGGACTATTTTAGACTACATACACCCATCACCCATTAGCCATGAGTCTCAAATAAGACTGCACCACTTGAAGCAAAGAGTTCCCCAACCTGAAGGGATGATTCCACTTTCATTTAAGTTGAGATCCATGGCTTTGAATTTAGAGACGTTGACTCATCCTGGATATTTCGCACTCTGCAAACCACCCCAGTGCACAGTGAAGGTCATGGCTTCAAGACGCCAGAGGAACATCAAATGCAACAAACAGGGACGAAACACTGAGGTATCCACACATACACCTTCCTCTCCAAGACTGCATCTCAAGATATTGCACATTAACACCACAAACAAGATCAGAGACAGGAGGCATCCCTGTTGGAGTTCAACGTGCATTGGGAATGAGCTTGAATTAGTTCCAATAATTCAGACAAAGCTCTCATTTTGGTTGTACAGGGACCAGATAGCCATTAAAAACATGCACGCACACACACATGCTTGCACACACACAAACACACAATACCTTGGGGAACACAGATATAAAACTTATTTAGATCCACAAAACACATACAACCTCTGGCAAAAATTGTGGAATCACCACTCGTGGAGAATGTTATTTCAAGTGTTTAACTGTGTAAAATTGTGTATTTATAGATAAAGAAATCTCATGCATGCCACAAAACTATCATTTTTCAAAATTCTAACCTTGTGGCATGAAGGATCAAAACAAAAAAAGAGAATTGTAACTGGATTCAGTCACAGTTGCTTTTTTGTTAAGTACAGGAAAAATTAATTGAATCACTGTAATTTACAGTTCAGATTAAATGTGCTAATAAATCTCACAAAGTGCTCACACTTTGGAGAGCTTTTGCACAAAGGAGATTGACGTAAAGTGGCTCCAAGATGACATGTCATTTTAAACAAAACAGATGAAGATGAAACTTATTCAAAAAAGTAAATCATCACAAAATGTTACAAAAGATGTTGGTTGTTTCCAGTCAGCTGTCTAAAATCTGAAAAAGGACAAAAAAAACGGGAAGGTTGTAAAAGGGATGCATGCTCGACCAAGGATGACATCAAAGGGTCAAGATGGACAACTAAAAGCATTACGTCTTGAAAAATGTTCAGCAAAATAAATAAGAAACAAGTGGGCGGAAATTAGAGACAATGTCTGTAACCAAACTGCAAGAAATCACCTAATCAAAATTAGATTTACATACAGACAAGTTCAACAAAAGCTAACAGCCAAACAGAAAAGTGCAAAGTGTCAATGGGCAAAGAAAAGCTGTCGGACTGTGGGAGACCAGATGAAAGTGTCATGTCAGGTAAAGGTACAGAGGAGATGTCATTACATCTTCAACAAAGCCAAAGACTACATAAACATTTTGGACACATTTCTTATTCCATCAGATGAAAAGATGTTTGGTGGTAATTACTTTATTGTTGAGAGGGTAAAGCACACTGCCAAAGGACATGGAACATGAAGCTACGACCTGCAGAGCTGATCTGGGAAGAGCATAAAAGCCTTTTTTCCACTGTCCAGTCTCACCACAAATTGCTTCAACTCTTCTCAGGTCAGCACAGTCTCGGCGAATATCACTTGTGTGCCCACCTTCATGTGAGTGGGATCATCATAAGGTGGCTTGACACATCTATGGAGTTATTTTCCATCCAAGTCAAACACAACACAGCCATGGGAAAACAAGTGAAATAAAGTTACAAAAGACTCTCTCCTCTGCCACGGTTCCCAAAAATGTTGTGATCGAATAGAAATCACCTTTCCTCTTTTGGTCAGAGCCTGTAAGTCGAGTCTATTTGGTCCAGAGAATTATAACTGGAGTCAGTCACAGTTTGTTTGTTTTGTTAACTCAGTCCGCAGCCAACAAGCATATAAACATTTTAACCTCCTTGTAGAACCACATTATTGTCATTTTAATGAATATATTATACACTTTAAAAAATAAGGAAATAAAAATGAATGTTGTGGTTGCAAGGTTTTTAAAAATTATGGGTTGTATTCTTTGGAAGAAGATGCTCTGATGATTGATGTCTCTCTGGCCAATCGGTGACCTGCAGCTATCAAGTCCTCAGCCTGACTTGGCTTGATTAGAACCTCAGATGAGGAAGTCCTAAGAACAGAGGTTGAAGTGGGTCAGATCACCCACCGAGAAGACTCTGAAGCTGAGCCAAGTCTGCCTTAGTAGGGCTGAGACAAGCCCATGAAAAAAAGACTTTAAGAGACAGTTGTAGGCAGATTGATGAAGGGTACCATTTGTCTTTAGTTGGGTCCACGCCTCAGAGCATTCAAGCTATTAAAATATCTAGGAGGCGCAACAAAGTACTAATGGCAGTGTTTTTCTCACAATTCCATTTTTTTTTTCAATCTGCTTGATGGGCAGTTGTGACAGACCAGTTATCAGAGTTACAATGTGATATATCTGATTTAAAAAATAATTAAATAAAACTATTTAAAGAAAATCCTTCAAAAGTGGTGATTCCCTATTTTTTTCCCAGGGGGGTTGTATGACTGAACAATCAAACTCCAATGGCCCTCTAACAACTTTTCAAGTGTGAGAGTTAGGGATGGGGCCGATCCGATTCAGTATCGGTATCTGCCTTCGATACCAGCATAATTTACGTGTCAGATTTTCCGATCCAACCTGCAAAGATTTCCGATCCATGATGATGCATGTTGGCTTCAAACTATGGAATGGATTTCCTGAATGGAGGTGTGTCTCATGAGCCCAGAGTAATTCAATTCAATTCAAAAATACTTTATTCATCCCAAAGGGAAATTATTTGTTGTTGTAACTCGTTATCCTCATTTCATTAAGAGATGTTATAGATACTGATGGCTGTAGGCAGGAAGGATCTCTTGTAAAGGTCCATCCTACAGTGGATCCTAAGAAACTGGCTGCAGATGCCGTCCGATCCATCCACCCAGACTCGGCTGGCCTCTCGGTTCCCCCGGGCTGTAGGACCGCCCGAATGCCGAGCAGAACTTCCTCCCAGAGCGATGGCCACTCCTCCCAGTAGTCTGCCGAGCTCCTCGTCACTGCGGACAGCCAACTGTAGGTGCCGAGAGACGATCCTGTCCTTCCACTGTCATGAGCCGTGTTTCCTGCTAGTTCCAGGATCTCAGTGGTCAGGCACTCGAGCACAGCTGGCAGGTAGATGAGAATGCATCCACAGAACATCCTTTTCAACTCATTTGAGATTTGGGGCTGTAGCTGAGATATTATTTGAACTTTTGAGAT